GCCTGACATGTGTAGCTGCCGCTGTCCTCCACTTTGAGATCCTTGATGTAGAGCTGAAGCAGGCAGCCACCCTGCTTTATCTCGTACTTGTTGCCTGCTTTTAGTGGAATCCCGTTCTTCTTCCATTGCACTGACACTCCAGGCTTAGACAGCTCACAGCACAGAGAAGCGGTATCTCCCTCTTTCACCTCCACACTTTCTAAGTACTCCTTGAAGAATGCTGGAAGCTCTGGAAACAGGTACAGATTGGAAAAATCACACATCTTCAGTGTAACTACATAACATTGAAGGTCAGTAAAGGAAAATACTGTATTTTTAATAGAGACAATATCAAGATATTTCTGCCAAGTTCTAATGTAGGTGGGTTTGCAATATGAGCAACAGAATATGTACAAGTTTTAGACAACCATAGGAAACTACTGTTTTGCTATGCGAATTGACAAAGATACACACCTTTCACAGTCACAGCTGCAGTGGTCTCTGCACTTCCTGCATGACATGTGTAGCTGCCACTGTCCTCAGGTTTGAGATCCTTGATGTGCAGCTGGAGGAGGCAGCCATCTTGCTTCATCTCATACTTCCTGTTAGCTCTCAGGGGTAGCTTGTTCTTCTTCCATTGCACTGACACTCCAGCTTTAGACAGCTCACAGCACAGAGAGGCTGTAGCTCCCTCCTCAGCCTCCACACTTAGTAGGTCTTTCTTGAATAATGGAGGTTTCTCTGGCGAATGTCATAAAGAGGGGGAGAAATGTCTGTAAAATGTCTTTGTCATGATAGAAATGGTGCTAGAGACATTCTCAACATGGACCCAACTGGTAAATAAATGTAATGTTTTTTATCTAGACTACCTACATGCACTGACACAGTAGAAGGGTGGGAATAGCTATGGAGTCCCTGACAGTTCAGACAATCACAAAACAGTATCAAACCGACAGTTACATTATTTGTCTGTGGCTTGCAAGTATGCTGATATGCAAACTGGCAAAGATACACACCTTTCACTGCCACAGTTCCCGTGGTCTCTACAAGTCCTGCTTGACATGTGTAGCTGCCGCTGTCCTCAGGTTTGAGATCCTTGATGTGCAGCTGGAGGAGGCAGCCATCTTGCTTCATCTCATACTTCCTGTTAGCTCTCAGTGGCAGCTTGTTCTTCTTCCATTGCACTGACACTCCAGGTTTAGACAGCTCACAGCACAGAGAGGCTGTACCTCCCTCCTGAGCCTCCACACTTTGTAAGCCTTCCTTGAAGAATGGTGGGAGCTCTGAAAAAAAGGTAAGGATTGGAAAAACTTTAGTATAATGGGAAAATACTCGAAATCTAAACAGAAGAGGAACAAATTGTCTTCGATGATACATAAGTACTTCAGATTTTGGTGTGAGGTTAAATGCATGCATTGTTCACACTGAATTGTTTTTTTTTTTTACTGTGAATTACACACACCTTTCACTGTCACAGTTGCAGTGGTCTCTGCACTTCCTGCCTGACACGAATAGCTGCCGCTGTCCTCAGGTTTGAGATCCTTGATGTGCAGCTGGAGGAGGCAGCCATCTTGTTTCATCTCATACTTCCTGTTAGCTCTGAGTGGCAGCCTGTTCTTCTTCCATTGCACTGACACTCCAGGCTTCGACAGCTGACAGCATAGGGAGGTTGTTGCTCCCTCCTCAGCCTCCACACTTTGTAAGTCTTCCATGAAATATGGTGGGAGCTCTGAGAAGATAGGCTAGAATTACAAAAACTTAACTCTAATAGGGAAAACATTCAAAACCTAAACAGGAGGGGACCAAATTGTCTTTGAAGACACATACAATAAGGACTTGTCAGCAAACTTGCTAAAAATGTAAATGTTAATGGATGGGAGTGAAATAATAGCACCAAGTACAAACCAGAACATTTAGACAATCAGTACTTCAGATTTTTGTGTGTCGTTGAATAAATGCGTTGCTAACCCTGAGCTTCTCTTATTGCTAATTACACACCTTTCACTGTCACAGTAGCAGTGGTCTCTACACGTCCTGCTTGACATGTGTAGCTGCCACTGTCCTCAGGTTGGAGCTCCTTGATGTGCAGCTGGAGGAGGCAGCCATCTTGCTTCATCTCATACTTACTGTTAGCTCTCAGTGGTAGCTTGTTCTTACTCCATTGCACGAACACTCCAGCTTTAGACAGCTCGCAGCACAGAGAGGCTGAACCTCCCTCCTCGGCCTCCACACTTACTAAGTCCTCCTTGAAGAATGGTGCAAGCTCTGAAAAAATGGGTATGGATTATAAAAACATAAATATGCATCTTTTGTCATGTGGTTAAATGCATGCAGAACAAAAAAGTGAATTGCTGACTGACACATGCACACACCTTTCACTGTCACAGTTGCAGTGGTCTCTGCTCTTCCTGCTTCACACGAGTAGCAGCCACTGTCCTCTGGTTTGAGATCCTTGATGTGCAGCTGAAGGAGGCAGCCATCTTGCTTCATCTCATACTTCCTGTTAGCTCTCAGTGGCAGTTTGTTCTTACTCCATTGAACTGACAGTCCAGGCTTAGAAAGCTCACAGCACAGAGAGGCTGAACCTCCCTCCACAGCCTCCACACTTAGTAGGTCTTCCTTGAAGAATGGTACGAGTTCTGCAAAAAGTTGATCAGAAAAAACATAATTGCACATCTTAAGTGGAATTGAAGACTGCAGAGGCCTAACAAAAAGGAGAATTGCATTGGGTAATGCAGGCATCATCAAGACTGTTTGACCAACTTATAATGCAGATGGTGGAACTGAAATAACAGCATCTCAACGTTACTCATTTCAGCAACTTAAGACAAATTCAAGACAGTACATTAAATTTTGTTGTGTGGTTAAAAGCATGCAGAGCAACACTAAATTGTTGACTGCCAAATGCACACACCTTTCACTGTCACTGTTGCAGTGGTCTCCGCACTTCCTGCTTGACACGAGTAGCTGCCGCTGTCCTCTGGTTTGAGATCCTTGATGTGCAGCTGGAGGAGGCAGCCATCTTGCTTCATCTCATACTTCCTGTTAGCTCTCAGTGGCAGCCTGTTCTTACTCCATTGTACTGACACTCCAGGCTTAGACAGCTCACAGCACAGGGTGGCTGTACCTCCCTCATCAACCTCCAGACTTTCCAAGTCTTCCTTGAAGAATGGAGGAAGCTCTGGGAAAATAGGCATGGAAACAAAACAGAATTTTACATTTATTTTGTGATGGAAACAGTAGTTTAAACCTCACCATGTTTTTTAGAAAAGCTATTTGCTAAGTGGATAGGTTTACCATATAGTGTAGACTGCAATGACTACAAGATGGATCAGAGTGCAGGAAAGCATTGCACAATAAAATGCATGAAATTCTGAGACTGTTCTAAGAAAGTCAGAATTATACAAATGCACACACCTTTCACTGTCACAGTTGCAGTGGTCTCAGCACTTCCTGCTTGACACGAGTAGCTGCCACTGTCCTCAGGTTTGAGATCCTTGATGTACAGCTGGAGGAGGCAGCCATCTTGTTTCATCTCATAATTCCTGCTCGCTCTGAGTGGCAGCCTGTTCTTCTTCCATTGTACTGACACTCCAGGCTTAGACAGCTCACAGCAAAGAGAGGTTGTTGCTCCCTCCTCCACCTTCACATTCTGCAATTCTTCTTTGAAAAATGGTGGGACTTCTGTGAAATGTAGGATGTGTGGGGAGAAACACAGTGGGATGTTTTTTTAAGAAGACATTTAAGACATTATCAAGTTAAGGCTAAACAGGATGTAGACAATATGTTTTATTTTTTGATAGATGATTAATGTTTGCTCCACTGGAAAATACTGAGTTTCAGCAAGTTCAGACAATAATCAGTAATTACAGTTCTCCATGACTTGGAGCTTGCTGATACTGTAAAATTTACCACGCAGATTTTCAATGGCACACACCTTTCACTGTCACAGTAGCAGTGGTCTCTACATGTCCTGCTTGACATGTGTAGCTGCCACTGTCCTCAGGCTGGAGCTCCTTGATGTGCAGCTGGAGGAGGCAGCCATCTTGCTTCATCTCATACTTCCTACTGGCTCTAAGTGGCAGCTTGATCTTCTTCCATTGCACTGACACTCCAGGCTTAGACACCTCACAACACAGGGAGGCTGTACCTCCTTCATTAACTTTCACGCTTTGCAGTTCTTCTTTGAAAAATGGTGGGAGCTCTGGGAGAGACAGGAGGGTAGGAGACCAATGAAGTAAAATGCAAATTAGTTAGGCTGTAGAAATGCGTAGCCTACTGACATGATAGATCAGTGGTGTCATATTAAATCATACAGATTTTCAGGAAGGTTTGATCATCACAAAAAAAAAAACATTTTCTATGATTAAGTTATTGCTAACACTGACATTTTCATTGCCATACACACCTTTCACTGACACAGTTGCAGTGGTCTCCGCACTTCCTGCTTGACATGTGTAGCTCCCCCTGTCCTCAGGTTTGAGCTCGTTGATGTGGAGCTGCAGGAGGCAGCCATCTTGTTTTATCTCATACTTTCTGCTGGCTTTTAGAGGTAGTCTGTTCTTCTTCCATTGCACCGACACTCCAGCTTTAGACAGCTCACAGCACAGAGAGGCTGTACCTCCCTCCTCAGCCTCCACACTTCGTAATTCTTTCTTGAAGAATGGTGGGAGCTCTGATGGTTGGGAAGGATATAATTATACATCTAGTTTAGCATGTTAGTTTAGCATAATAGTACATGCAGTAGTTGCATTTCAAAGCCAGAGGTTTACTAGAAACATTCAGCACTGACAATAAAGTAGTAGTAGAGATTAAATTGCACTTGAAAATATTTTTGTGGGAATTGCTTTGTACATAATCACAGCATAGTAACTCAACTGACAAATACATGACTTTTCTGTATCAGAGAATATTCTGATGTAGTAAAATTTGCAGTACATCCCATTTGTTGTGTGGTTAAATGCAAGCAGAGCAAACGCAGAATAATTGTTCACTGCCAATTTAACACACCTTTCACTGTCACAGTAGCAGTGGTCTCTGCACTCCCTGCTTGACACGAGTAGCTGCCGCTGTCCTCAAGTTTGAGATCCTTGATGTGCAGCTGGAGGAGACAGCCATCTTGCCTGATCTCGTACTTTTGGCTGGCTCTTAGTGGCAGCCCTTTCTTCTTCCATTGAATCGGCACTCCAAGTTTAGACAGCTCACAGTACAGAGCAGCTGAACCTCCCTCCTCAACTTCCACGCTTTGCAGTTCTTCTTGGAAGAATGGAGGGAGCTCTGGGAAATTAGGAGAGAAAGAGACATTTGGCATAATAGTGTATTATTCAGACATAACAGTTCTGATTCCAAGTGTGTAACATCAATCAGCTATCTAAAAGCTATATTATTTCCATTTTTACCTGTTACAGTAAGTTTGGCACTGCTCTGCACGTCTCCTGTATCACAGCAGTATGTGCCAGTATCCAAGGGATCCACATCATGTATTAGCAATAGGTTGACTTTTCCCTCCTTACGTATCTCATATTTATCACCATTTCGGAGGGGGATGTGGTTGCGCCTCCAGGTAACCAGGGAGGTAAAATCAGAGATTGTGCAGGACAGAGTGGCTGTCTCTCCTTCCATGATCACAACGTCTTTAGGCTTCTCCTCAAATAAAACTAGAATTTGAAATGAAGTGTCACTTTAAAATGTCCGAGGAAATCATTTTTCTGAAATGACACTATCTTTTTAGAAACTACACCCTCTATCCCTTATTCTCTGCTCACCTCTGGCCTTAGGAACAACTAGCAGACGTGCAGAGGTCCTCTCCTCCCCAATCACAAATGCCACGATGCCGGTCTCCTCAGGTGTTGTCATGGTGAGGACCAGCCGCTGTTCGCGACCGTGGCACATCATCTGGTTCATCTCGTTCTTCTGCAGAGGGCTGGAGCCAAGCCACCAAACACCCTCACTCACGTCTGCGTGGCTCAGTTCACACACAAACACCGCGTCCTCACCCGCTGTCACCGTTATACCCTGTAGCTCTGTAACGATCCGCACGCGCTCTGTGGAGGAAGAGGAAGCTATATACAGCTGGCTTTTTAGAGATGGAATGGAAAATATTTACAACAACTTAGATGAGAGCAGCCAGTTGGCTTTATTCATGCCACATTCCTTGTACTGTAAAAGAGTATCAATCAAATAAAACTAGATCAAATAAAATGTGAAAGTCTATTATAGTCACCACCTACCCCTCACGATCAGCTTGGCCGTGGTCTTCTTGCCTCTGGTGATACAGCAGTACTCTCCAGCATCCTCCAGGTGCAGTTTCTTGATCTCCAGGCTGTGTGTTGGGCCTTTCTTCTTTAAAATGTACCGCCCTCCTTCTTCAATCACAGTGTTGTCCTTCTTCCAGGTGACAGGGACATTAGCACTGGAGACTTCACACGACAGCAGCACAGATTTGCCCTCCATCACCGCTTGGCTTTCCAGTTCCTTCTCAAAGAACACAGATGCTGCCGCTGGTATAAAAAAAAGACAGACAGGATGTTACAAAAGGTGGCTCACATTTAAAATAATAAATACTAATGTAATTATCTTTGGCTTCATTTGCATTCTTGTCAAAGCAACAGAAATCCAGTGAAATATCAATGTTACCAAAGAACACAGAGCTGCAGAAGCAACATATGGATCATAATATAAGTTTTAAATTGAGAATTCAGTGTAAGAAACTCAAAATGGCAGCGTGTCAAATACCTCTGACGTTGACCTCAGCCGTCGTCTTCTGCTCTCCCACGATGCAGCTGTACTCCCCGACATCCTCAGGCTGGATGTTTCTTATGTTCATCTCAGCTGTTTTCCCCTTCAGCGTCATCTGATACCGTCCCCCCTGATAGATCTGGTCCTCCCCCTTCCACCACTGCACGGGCACCCCGGCCCTGGACAGCTCGCAGTGAAGGGACACATTGCCTCCCTCAGGGGCCTCCTGGTTCTTCAGACCCATTTTAAAGGTGAGGGGGATAGCTGTGGAAAAAGCAAGGTCATGTTGTGTTCATGTGTGTCTATGATTGCATTTCTTTTTACAAGGAAAACACTTTTTTAATTTGTGCACTTAATGCAAAAACAAACAAGCATGCCTGCATCTACAGGCTTCCCTTACGTGTAATGGTGATGTTGGCTGTTGTTTTGGTGTCACCGTAGATACAGCTGTACAGTCCGCTGTCCTCCAGCTGTGCGTTCTTGATGGTGAGCTCCATGTTGCTGTTTCGATTTTTAATCTGGTATTTGAAATTACTCTTCAGCAGCTCTTGTCCTTTCCTCCACTCCACAGGGAGGCCGGGTTTAGACAGCTCACAGTTCAACGTCACACTGTTCTCCTCCTCCACCTGCTGGTTCCTTAACTTTGTCTTGAATGTGATGGGAGGAGCTGCAAGGAGAAGAACTATGATTATATAGTTTTTCTTCATCCTATTTTAATAAGTGCTTTCAATTTCAATTAAATCAAATAACATCGTCGTACAAAGGCTCAGATGTCATGTTTTCAGTATAGGATTTCTACTTTACCTTTGACGATGAGCTCAGCGGTTGACTGGGTGTCATTCGTCTTGCAGGTGTATTTCCCTGCGTCACTCTCCTCTACGTTGTTGATGATCAGTTTAGTGAAACGTCCCTCCTGTTTCATCTCATATTTGTATCCAGGTTTGAGGATGACTCTGCCTTTCCTCCAGTCCACTGGAGCTCCAGGTTTGGAGAGCTCGCAGGAGAAAACTCCACTGTCCCCTTCCTTCACCTCCAATTTCTCCAGCTCTTGTTTAAATATAACAGGAAGTGCTGACAAAAAAAACAAACAAGCGGAAATAGTTCACTCTCATGTTTTGACACAATTCTGTATTGTTTCTTGTTAGATTTCTGAATACATCTTGCAAGTTGACTTTGTCAGAAATACCAGGTCTGTTTTTCTATGTAACAGCTGTTGTGAAACATACCTCTTACTTTGATGTCAGCTGAAGTCACAACAGTGCCAACAAAACAGCTGTACTCCCCCAAATCTTTAAGAGTTAAATTTCTGATCAGCATCTCAGCTGTCCTGCCTTCTTGCTTCATCTGATATTTTTCTCCCTCCATCAGAAGTTGAGCATCTTTCCTCCACTCCACTGGGACTCCTGCTTTAGAAAGCTCACAGCGCAGCGTCACGTTGCCTTCCTCCACAGCTTCCTGGTTCCTCAACTTTTGCTTGAAAGTTATTGGGATCCCTGAGGAGTGAACGCAAAATACTGTGTAAGACGTGCAAGATACCAAAGCACGATCATGTTTTCTTTTACATAATGTGTACTTGCTCTCACCAGTGATGATGATGGTGGCAGTAGTTTTTACGTCCTCACATACACAGCTGTATGAGCCACTGTCCTCAGGCTGGCTTTTCCTGATGAGGAGCTCCACCTTGGAGCCGCTCTGCTTCATCTGGTATTTCTCTCCGTTGGTCAACACTTTGTCTCCCTTCTTCCACTGCACTGGAGTGTCAGGTTTGGAGAGCTCACAGCAGAGTGTCACTCCGTTGCCCTCTTGGACCTGAATATTCTTCAGTTCTTGAAGGAATTTGATGGGCCGCTCTAGAGGAGACCACAGGAGAAATGTCAAAATGATTTCCATATTGAGGAGTTTTGTTTTTTTTATTAAGTAAAGACAGGTATGTAGCATAAAACGATGCAACACACAAGCTAATTTGCAATGCCTGTCCCCAAGTGGGCCTTTAAAATACATAAAACTAAACGAATAATACACAAGAGACAGCACAAAACACAAACTCAGACCCAAAAACTTTATGCAATGAATTTGTGCATGTATACTCATACACAACAAGTTGCAACATAGAAATCCACTTCAATAACTTCACAATGTATATTTCAACTTTGTCAGTTTTGCATGTATTCTTGTGTTGTTTACTCTTTACTGGTGGATTCAGCTGTATTTATCATGTCTATAGTTTACCTTTTAATATGTGTATTCATGCACTAAAATAAACAGTGCAACTCATCATAGTGTATGCAGTTATTACCATTCACAGTGATCCTAGCTTGTGTACTGTGTTCTCCACATATACAGGTATAATCTCCAGCATCGTCCAGACTGAGCTCAGTAATCTTCATCTCCACCTGCAGGTCCTTCTTCCTCATCTGGTATTTGTCTCCATTTTTCAGCAGCTCTGATCCTCTCCTCCACTCAACCGAAGGGGCAGGTTTGTTGAGCTCACAGCGCAGAACCACACTGTTGCCCTCCGTTGCCTCCTGGTTAACTAGTGGCATCTTGAAACTTGCTGGCAAATCTGCCAATCAGAGTCAAATCTTACACAAGAAATCTTACTTGAAATTGAAAAACAACTGATACAGATAAAAGTAGGAAAAGGTGTATAGTATACTTAGAATTATTGATCACAGAGGGCCAAATAAAGATGAATGAAGAATGAAGACATAAATACTACCAAGTTAATGTCTTTTGGATCAAAGAAAGCTAAAGAGAAAACATGGTAATAATTATCTGATCATGCAGATGTCTGCTGAATTCACTGGATTCAATAACACACTTCCTTGTCTTTGGTAGGACAAGGAACATAATATTACATGGAAGTTACATTGTAGGAGTGATGTGATGAGAAGTAATGTACAGTACACACCAAGTACTGTGACATTTAGACTATAATGTGACATATGAAACAATAATCGCTCCATTGAGCTTCAGTGAAGCTACATAATGGAGCTCACACAGTGCTAATGACCACTAGGTCTACTTTGTTCTCACTGTACTATGTTAGAGCTGACCTCTTTGACGTCTGCGCTTAGGTGATTCTGTTGAATACAGCGGGAAAATTCAAAAAAGTGAAAGAAATGTGATTCACAAAGCATTAAAACATATGTGGGGGAGTTGAATTTCTCCTACCTTGGACAATGAGCTCAGCAGTTGATTGGCTGTCTTTGGTCTTGCAGGTATATTTGCCACCATCACTCTCCTCCACGTCGTTGATGACAAGTTTAGCGAAAGGTCCCTCCAGCTTCATCTCGTATTTGTTTCCAGGCTTCAGGATCGTCCTGCCTTTCCTCCACTCCACAGGAGCTCCAGGTTTGGAGATCTCGCAGCTGAAAACGCCACTGTCCCCTTCCTTCACCACCATGCGCTGGATCTCTCGTTTGAATGTCACAGGAAGTGCTGTTGTGGGTATATTTAAAAAAACAGTGTTCAGTGATTGCATTGATTTGCAACCCGCCATTTCCATTTACTTTTTTGTTGCAATACAAGGAGCAGGCACCTCTGTTTGTCTGTTCTTCCTCTCCTCAAAGCCATAAGAGAAATCTAACAGTTTGTTTACATAGATATGGGATTTGAGATGTTGCACAAAATGTATATAAACATTTGAAATTCTAATGGAAGCTGTAGTTACGTATCACTAAGTCACAAGTGCACAATTTAAGTGAGAGATATAATTGGACTTTCCAAGGGTGACACCCATAATAACAGCCTTTTAGATATTATGATCAAAATGATAGAGTTATAACCATATAATCATTATAAATATACCGTGGCTAATGTGGGAAGCAGTTATGATGTGTGTTCTCATTGGTTTTTGATGGCTTCAAACTTACGTTTCACTTTAACTTCGGCTGTGGTTTTCTCATCTCCTGTGATGCAGCTGTACTTCCCAGCATCCTCAGGTTGGACGTTGACAATGGTCATCTCAGCTGTCTTTCCTTCTAGTTTGATCAGATACTTCCCTCGGTACGTAAACTCAGACAGCACCTGAGCGTCTCTCTGCCACTGCACCTGGACTCCCTTCTTTGACAGCTCACAGCGTAAAGTCACACTCTTCCCTTCTTCAGCCTCCTGGCCCTTCAGGCTAACTTTAAATGTGGTGGGAACAGCTGTTGAACCAAACACAGATGCTGTTTAACACGTGTTAAGCAGAACACAGGTAAGATCGTTGAAGAACCACTTTACAGGTAGCTCATGAAACTTCTAAACATGGGAAAAGAGACTACGCTTCAGTGCACTCATCTCACACACTGAACATACCGATAACTTTAACAGTGGCCTTTGTCTTCTGCTCTCTACACACACAGGTGTAGACCCCGCTGTCGTCTGGTTCAGCATCTCTGATGATCAACTCCAGGGCTGAGGCCCTTTGCTTAATCTGGTATTTCTCTCCATTCTCCAGCAGATCTCCTCCAAGCCTCCACTCCACAGGGACACCCGCTTTAGAGATCTCACAGTACAGTGTGATGTTGTGTCCTTCCTCCACTTGGACATTCTTCAGCTTTTGCTTGAAGGTGATGGGAAGAGCTGAGAGGCAAAGATAAAGTTAGGTCATCAAAAAAAGAATAACCACCCAAATTTAATGAACACTGTGTAATATATACAGATATCTGGTCTCAAACTGTTACTGTGTGTTTTTAATGTGATGTTACAATGAAATATTGTCATTAAACATACTGGGAAACAAGAATGAATTTGAATATCTGCGGCCACGTATGTATACGCATCCTCCTCCATTGCCACACTGCCTTTAGCCAATTGGCATGAGCACAAATGCACACCTTCACCCACCCACACACACACACACACACTTGACCTCTATGCCAAATTTCAGGCTATAAGTGTGAAAACTGTGGCTGCAAAAGGGTGGGGAAAGTTTTGAAGAGTGAACAACCAACCAGTCAGAGCGAGCAATAGAGCTGCTAGTCGCAACTAAATAATAAATAAATACCATTAACAGTCAGAGTTGCAGTGGTCTCTATGTCTCCACAGATGCATGTGTAGATGTCGCTGTCCTCAGGTCTAACATCAAGGATCCTCAGTTCAATCAGCCCGTCTCTTTGTCGTATGTGATATTTCTCTCCATTCCTGATGAGTTCATCCCCGCTCTTCCTCCACTCCACACTGTACCCAGGCTTCGACAGCTCGCAGCGTAGAGCCGCAGTGCTGCCTTCCTCAATGAGCACATTCCTCAGCTTCTGCTTGAAGGTGACTGGGAGAGCTGAGGAGTCATGGGTGATTGTAGATTGAGATAAATAACTGTTGATAATGAGCATTGTTTGTCAAAATCAATTAAAACCTATCGCTAAAACCCATTAGCCTATTTGTAAATCATGTCTTACCAGTGATTTTGACAGTGGCAGATGTTATCTGATCAGCACAGGCACAGCTGTAGACCCCACTGTCCTCTGGAACAGGCTTCCAGATCAGAAGCTCCAGAGTGGTCTCTCTTTTCCTTATCTGGTATTTCACTCCATTCTTCAACAGCTCATGTTCCTTCCTCCATTCAGCTGGAATTCCAGGTTTAGACAGCTCACAGCGCAGTAGGACATTGCTTCCCTCCTCTGCTTGCATGTTCTTTAACTTCTGTATAAATGTTATGGGAATAGCTGGAAAACAAGAGGTGACGTTTTTACTGAATTCAGTTAGAAGCAAGGTGAAAATGGTGAAGCTGTGCACAGCAGTACTGAAAGGTTTTGATACATGGACGTGCCTTACATAAATAATATGCCAGCCAGTCGGCAAAACTTTTTAAACCACAACACAGCACTCAAGAACACATCTCTATAACAAAATACAACATAATAATGACAATGTTGAATTTCATTATTGAAGGTAAACTAATTTATTATTGGCCAACTGGGATATCTCAGGCCTCAGTATACACCATAGACTGGGTTACTATGCATGCATCAATACCACTGCAGAGCACAGCAGCAAATCTGAGAATAAATCACAAAGAAGTCTGAATTGACTGTGTAGGTTTTTGGTAAAGTTAGCTAAATACATACCGTGTACTTTGAGGCTTGCTGTAGTGTGGTGATCTCTGCACTGGCAGGTATATTCTCCTGAGTCAAGAGGCTTCAGTGCTTTGATGGTCAGAGAATTGATCGTCTTCCTCTGTTTAATCAGGTATCTGTCTCCAGGCCTGATACTCTCGAAACCTCTCTTCCAGTGGCACTGGACCCCAGGCAGAGAGTATTCACAGGTCAGGGTGACGGTCTCCCCCTCTTTGGCCTCCAAGGACTTAAGAGCCTGGATGAACTCTGCTGGGATGGCTTAAAAAGACAACAGAGAGGAAAAATAATCCAATAAAATCATTTAAAATCTGATAAAATATGTCACATCCCTCTGGCATTTAATGTTGGGCAATAGTGAGCAATAGCAGTCCTGCAACAACAGGTCAATACAAAATGCTGTTCATACCTCTGACAGTCACAACGGCCCTCGTGGTAACAGATCCAGCACTGCACTCATACACTCCAGCATCGTTGTTGCTGACCTCCCGAATCGTCAGCCGGGCCTCACAGCCGGAACGACTGGCAAAATACCTCGAGGAGTTCCACATCAAGCAGCCATCTTTGTACCACAGGATGTGACATGGCTTGGAGGCCACGCAAGACAAAACCAAACCACCCCCTTCAATAGCCTCGCAGTCTTCCAGTGCTTTAATGATGGTGGGACGCCTCTCTGGTAACACGGGGAGATGAAGCCAAATTAAGAAATGTGACAGGAAAGTACACAGTAAAACTCTCCAGAAGATTAAAGCCTCACCTCTAACCAACAGTGAGGCGTACGATCTTTTGTCCCCCGCTGAAAATGAGATAGTGCCAGTGTCTTTGCGGGCGAGTTGTCTAAATGTGAGGGTGTGGTAGCCTCCGGCCACCATCTGGATCTCATTGAGCTCATTTGTGTACAGCAAAGTCTCGTCCAGATACCATTTTACCCCAATGTAGTCACTGGGACAAATTCGACACTTGAATGTGACCGTGTCGCCCTCTAGACACTCGACATCCTCTAATTCATCCAGGATCAAAACCCTCTGACCTGAGAGAAACATGGAGAAGTTGGAAAGTCAAAAATCCTGTGAACATCATATACAGTAGGTACAAGAAACACATGTTCACTATGATCTCACCCTGCACCGTCAGCTGTGCCCGGCTCTGCATGGTACCGACATCACAAATGTAAATATCTGTGTCCGACTTGTCCAGACAGGTGATGGTCAGGGACAGCACCACACCCTTCTGCCTGATGACATACTTCCTACCGGACCTCAGCTCCACCATGCCCTTCAGCCAGGTCACTCGCTTGGCTGGCCGCCTGGTCTCACACTCCAGGGTCACTTTACCCTTTTCCTCTGCCCGCGTGTCCCTTAACTCCCTCGCAAATGTGTGCTGGAGCTCTGAAAGGAACAATGAAGTTTAGGATATTGGGTCAAGCTTCACACTTAGTTTTCCAGTCACAGATCCAAATTGCAAAACAGGACATAGCACAGAGTAGCATTGTGCAACATTACAGTAAAGACATTATATTGTTAATAGCCATCAACTAACATTTATTTTGAAAGCCCACACCTACCTCTGATCTCCAGCTTGGCACGCGAGGCAATGCCATCGGCCTCACAGCAGTACTCTCCAGAGTCTCTGATGGTGGAATTCTTGATCACCAGTCGCGCCAGGTTCTTCTCTACACTCATCACATACTTGGGGCTCGGCCTGATCAAACGGCCATTTTTCAGCCAACGGATCAGGACCTCTGGTTTGGTGATCTCACAGCTCAGCTCTGCGTCTTCGCCTGGCACTGCCTTAGTGTTCAGCAGCTCCCTGAAGATGTGCACCGGCTTCTCTAATGGAGGGGAAATGCATTCACTCATATTCAGGATTATTTGTATAAATGCATCTACCAAATGGTAGTTCAAAGTAAAACACAGGTATTGCTACGTACACAAACACAAACAAGACAGAGCTGATCAATTTATCTGAGACAACCAGGTATTCACCTTTAACAAAGAGCATGGTCCTACAGCTTAGGTCTTTAATTGTGAAGACCACATCTCCAGCGTCAGTCAGTAAAGCATCTCTAATGGTCATCTTATAGTGGCGGCCATTGTTGATAACCTGGATACGGCTATTGGTGACAACCAGCTGGCCATTGATGGTCCAGGAAGGCTCGTCATCGAGATCGTGAGAGAGTTGACAATCAAAAGTGCAGCATTCGCCTTCTTGGACTGATGTTATCTTTATACGATGAACAATAGTGATGCGTAAGTCTGTAGACAAATATAGCAACAGAACAGCCTAATTACAGAAAACATATCTCTACAGATAAATAGAAAGAAACTGCAACACCACAGAAAGACATGTAACATCTTTGGTCATCCATGTAGCAACGGAACTGAATGCCACATTTCCAAAAGATATGGCCAAGAGGTAGAGAGTGGATGATAAATAAAAGGTGACCTAAGACAGAGCCCTGAGGAACACCACTAATACCTGGAAAAGAGCTTGACCTGAAATTTTTAAGTCTCTATATTCCTGTTTCATGATTGCTTTAGTGTCTGTTTTAAGAAAAAAGGGTCTCATTCACTTATATCTTCCTAAGTTTTTCCTACATTTGATATTGAGAAGACAAAAATCCATCAGATTCATGGCCTATTCTTAAACTGCAGAATTGTCGGCACCCATGCTCTTAAAATAATGAGTCCCCTTGTCCTTGTAAATTGAAAGAGTATGTCACTTGATCCTAGTTAGCATAGGTTAAGTATCTGCCAACCCACATAAAAAGGGCATGAGACTACAGGCCCTGTGCACACACAGAAACTGAAAAGAAATGTTGGGAGGATTAAGTCAAGATTGCCCAAATGAAAGAGCCTAATGAGCTGTCATATCTAGTGAGTCAGGACAGTAATGGATATAAATTAACACAAAAAAAGATGCATGAGATGCTATTACTCGTTCAAAGAACAAAGAAGGGTGCGCGACTGTGTTCGGGATGTTTATGAGCATGTATCGACAGTGCGCAATTGAGGTTGGTGCTTTATAAAAAGATAATGATGAGGTGGCGCACTGTAAGCAGCAGGCATCAAATACATAGCATGGTAAAAAATGCAAATATAGGGAGGTGAAACAACAAACAAGAGTAAATCTGGCTTTTACTTTCAATGGTGAGCCTGTTTACAAACAGTGACTGATTACTGCTTAGTACACCTTTAAGAAGACGTTTCCTCTTAAGAATGGATGGTGAATGAAGCCAAATGTTATTTGAGGCTCCTTCTGTCATTCTATCAATCATTTGGTGGCACTGTTGTCAAATGGCAGACAGCTTAATGTGAGCACAACACTTGATCTTCAGAGTGTCGAGCTTCTCCAATTACTACTACTCACCATGCACAGTAACTTTAGCCTTGGTCTGGCTGGTGCCCAGGTCACAGGTGTAATGTCCAGCATCATCTTTGCTCAGGGAATGGATGATCAGTGCCATGGACTTCCCAGACTGGAGTAACTCATGTTTATCATCAGTGGTCAGGATCTCGCCATCCTTCCTCCAAACAGGGGTCACTTTCTCTTTGGAAATCTCACACTGCAGGCAGACCTCCCCTTGCTCTTCTCCCACTACATCCTCCAGAGACCTCAGGAACACTGCTGGATGCTCTGGAGCCAAGATTATCAATCTTAAGTGTGCATGTTCCTCAGAAATGAACACATAGAAATGCAAGTATTCGAAAAAAGCTACTGATTATACACTTCAGTTAGCTGACCTTTGACTTTTAAGATGGTTGTCTCAGAGAGAAGGCCGGCTTTGAAGGTGACCCTGCTCTCCTGTGGTCGCGGATTCTTAATTGTGAGGCTGTGCATAGTGCCCATGTGCTGGATCCTGTTGATGGCATTGCAATAGAGGCGAACATTGTTGAGAAGCCACTCCACATTGGCAACCACGTAGTTGAGCTCACACGTGAACCTGGCAATGCTATCCTCCTCAATTTCCACTGGCTCTAAGTGTTTTACCAGCTTCAGCGTCCGCACTACAATAAAAAGGGGAAATAGATTATGACAAAGCATCAACTGAACTGAAATAAAGAAAACCGAACTGTGTTTAACTTACCTTCTACCTTAACATGTGCTGTGCTCTGTGCACCCCCAGCCATGCAGCGATACTGTCCTGCATCCATGGCTGACAAACCATGAATGGTCAGCTGTGCTCGTTTCCCTTCTCTCTTCATGCTGTACTTGTTGTTGGTCTTCAGAGCCGTACGACCTTTAAACCACCTCACCACTCTGGGCGAGGGCACAAACGCACAGCTCAGAGTCACAGAGCTGTTCTCCTTCGCCTCTGCATTTTCCAAGTGGTGGGCAACTTGAAGAGGCCGCTCTAAGAGGGAGAAATGTAATCCTGCTTAATGAGACACTCCTATATATAATATATTCATTCACTTAACCCGCTTAATCCTTTTCAGGATCATATAAAGGATATAAAATGTACATATGGCATACATAAGGCATAGAACAAACTTATTTCAACTTTAAATTGCTTCATCCACAGCCTCTCTTCCACACTCAGACAAGGTTAAGCCAACTCACCTTTGACAGTAAGCTGAGCAGTGGAACGACTCTTCCCAGCTACAAAGAGCACAGGGCCAGACATGGAGCTTTCTGTGTAGGTGAAGCAGAGGCTGTGGAGGGTGCCCTGCCTGTCGATGTTCACTGCTGCGCAAGGCTCCAGCACCTCACCGTTCAGGGTCCAGCGGGGGGGCCTCCCTGATTTCAGGCTGGTCTCCACTTGAAACAGCGCTGGCTCTGGCTCTGTCACCTCCACTGAGCTCATCCCCCGCACTATGCTGATAGCCTGCTCTGCATGTACAGCCATAATACACATTACCACCACTAACACAACTCCTGACTTGCAAACTAGAAGCATGTGCACATGGGCATGGCTCATGACACATTAAATATTTTGTGGGGATACATGAATGCAGAACATACTGTAGGCCATGAACTTTACATTGTGACTGATGTGATTATTATGACAACAGGCATCTCACCCTCCACCAAAAGCTGACAGGAGGTGTTGTCATCTCCTGCATCACAGGTGTAGGTGTCCTCATCTGAGGAGCAGATGTCATCGATGGTCAGCTGCCTGTAGACATCTTGGCTGATCATCTGGTACTTCTTATTGGGCACGAGCTCCTTCCTGTTCTTGTACCACGTGACCTGAGCATTAGGCCGAGACACCTGGCACTCCAGCAGACCCCGGTGGCGATACATGGCTATTTTGACCCTCAGAGGACGCACTATTTGGACTGGGAGCTCTGAGGAAGGGAGAACCAGGCTGAAAACCTTACACAACCAAACAATATCTCTTCATATATCCATGTTTCTATAAACTGTGGCATAAACAGTCTGTTGGCTCACCTTTTACTGTGAGAGTTGCATAAGATGAGACACGCTCTGCAGTGAATCTGATCTCTCCAGCGTGCTCTGGCCTGACTGACTTGAAGCACAGGGTGTGAGTTTTACCTGCAATCAGATCAAAACAAAAAGTTTTATCATATTTATGTGCTGTATTTAACCAGGTTCATATTTTTGTTTTTATATCTTCACACCTAGAAACCAGTGCAACCACTATGACCACTCAAACACAGCTTAAGCAAAGTTAAGTATACTCTGAAGCAAACACTAGGAGTATTTTTACTGCTTAGGCTTTTGTCTCTGTGAAACCAATGCCATTTGTGTCTCACCCTGGTGTCTGATCTTGATGTTGTCCCCAGGTCGAATTCGGCTGTCATCTCTGTACCACCGACCCTCCAAATCCACTTGGTTGACCTCACAGACGAAGTTTACAGGTTGGCGCTCCACCGTGTCAACATCCTCCAGCTCTGTCACTATGTGGATGTCCCTAGCTGGCAGATGATAACCAAACCATGACTGCAAACTCAGTTAAAGCAACCTAACAGAACTTTTTCACAAGACAAAAGAAGTGTGAGTGTTGTTTCTTCATTCATAAAGGTGATGAGGCCCTGATGTAGCTGTTTAAAACTATCAAAAGTTAAAAAGGGTTCAAACAAGCCTATAGCTATGCTAGTGGCTCTGTGAGACTGTGCTTAGAGAGGCATAGCAGTGTTTTGAGTTAAATGCTAACATCAGCATGCTAACATGCTTACAGTGACAATGCTAATTTGTTGATGGTTAGCATGTTCACCATCTTAGTTTAGCACGTTAGCATGCTAACATTTGCATTTTAGCATTAACAAAGTACAGCTGAGGCTTATGGGAATGTCATTAGTTTTGCAGGTTGATTTAGTTAATGCATTGGACAAACTGAAATGTTGAATTGATGATGAGGTGAAATGTCAGAGAATCAAAGTAATCACAATTTATCCTCTCTGGACTGTGAATGTTTGTACCAAAATTCACAGCCAACAGTTGTTGAGATATTTCAATACAAACCAATATGTTAACATGCTGGTGGGACTAGAGGGAAAGTCAGGGGATCACAAAAGTCACAAGGATTCATCCTCGAAGAACCCTGAAAGTCTGTGAAGGATTTCATGACAATCCATCCGCCAGTTGTTGAGTTATTTCAGTCTGGACTGGACAAATCCATCTCTAGAACCCCGCTATTAACATGGCTTAAACAACATTTAGGCATTATTTTTTTCTGATAGATGCAAGTAGACTATGCGGTAAGACAAAACCATATTTGAAATATTTTTAAATTTGGGCATTTTTCCATTGGTGTCGGAACTGACTCGCTTTTGGAGCCCGTCTCAAGTGGCCATTTAAGGAACTGCAGTTTTAGGCACTTGCACACTGGTTTCATTTTTCAGCCCCAGAGGTTGCCACGTGGCTTTGACCTGCATTTGACCCAGCTGTTGTCTTGGTCACTTGGACACAATCTGTGTCCACGGAAATAGCACCGTCTGTTTAACCACTTTACCTGTGACAGTGAGTCTGGCTGACGTCTGAATGCCGGGGGCCTGAAAAGAGAACAGGCCTGCGTCTCCCAAAGCCACCCTGCTCAGTATGAGGGAGTGTTTCTTCCCATGAGTGCTGATGCGACAGGTGGGCTTGGACTTGAGCCGCAGCCCATCTCTGGTCCACACGCCCTCAATATAGGCCAGATTCAAGGTTACGTCAAAGGAGCAGCTCTCACACTCAGACACCTGCACATCCTCCAAACCCTTCACCACCTGCAGACGGTTCTCTGGCAGACAAACACACGCAGCATTAGAGATTCAAAACATCATTTGCTATAACACCGAACAACTGTACAACTTTGTGTGAGGAGAGGACTTACTTGCAGCAGCTACTATTCCTCCAGGTATGTTGTCACCCATGTCTTCTGCTCTTCTCTCAGCGTGATTTTGGAATCTTGCTTTTTGCCAGAGGTATCACAAAAGGGCTACAACTACAACAGAAATGCACATATCAGTTAATAGTCTGGCTCAGAAGATAACTTACCATCAGTTTTAATGTTGTTTTAAAGAATATTAAACTTCACCATCTCATTCACACTTACTGCCATTCAGCATCTTTGTCAATAACCTGTTGCACTGTATGCCCTCTTTGTTTTGGACAAGACTTCATTTCACATGGCAAACAAATTCCTCTCAGGCTAATAATGATATAGACCATCACCTCTAACATGGAAACATCGACCTATTAAAATGGACACACATGGCATCACTCTGATATGTTCGAACCCTGCGATGGCATGCCAGTCCTCCTCAGTAATAAGGAGCAGAGTAATCTCTGTCACCTCACTCGGCTGAGCTCAGCACCACCAATATAGACTCAGCTGTGATGCCACCTCCATCAGGCTGCATGCACTGAACTGAGGAGAAGGGGAAGCTTTAAAAAAACAAACGAGAAGCCAAATGAGACCTGTCAATCACCAAACTGATTGATATGATATGTAGATCGTGACACACTTTTCGAAGGCTGGCTCCTCCCACTATCATTATGAGGCTCTCTGAGAGGAGGGTCATTGTTTCTCATCAGCTATAATTACATTTCATAATGCGTCACACAGCGACACTGAATCTGCCAGCCATTATCTAGATTACCTCTAGAGGCCTGATCAGTTACAATATCCACTGAAATCTTTTCCAACATAGCAATAAAGATGAATAAATATCATACAAAATAAAAAACATCTTCGAAATGAGTTCAGCAAAGTTAAAAGAGCTAATGTAAAGAGAGTAAAATACTTTGACCTCTCATGAAACGTACATATCTGACTGCAACTGTGCTGCATATGATCTAACTAACTTTCCACTGACACCACGTTCAATAGTGATTTTCCTTTGGTTCTATCAAAGTAAACAAAGAAATAAGGACTAGAAAAAGATCATCAGATCTTCTGCAGCGATGCACCCACCTTCAATTGAGGCGCTTTCTAGAAAGAATAAATCCGTCCATGGCCTCTTGTTGCACGGATGACAAAAAACAACCCCTTCACCTGAAAAAAAGAGCTGGAAAAAACATCCACCATGGCAACAGACCTTTCCGAGTCTTGTCTTGTGTCACACAAAGCCTTTAAGATTAACAACAAACGTTTAGCCAAAGGAAAGCATGCCCAGGTTTGCAAGCTGCGTCCCTGTCCCCAAAGCAGACGGCCTATAGCGCTTTCTTTTTTTTTTCTTGCTTTGATGGAGCGTAGTGCTGAACAGCTGACATATCTCTCCCCACATACTAACCTCCAAAATAGCCTTCTGTCAGTATGAGGGTAGGGATAGCTTTGGCTTTAATGGTGTGAGGCAACTCATGTCCAGCATCAATGGAACTATCACAAACAATCGAAATGTATACAATGGGCTTAGTGTGTTTGATGGTTTTCTGGTGTGCATGAATGAGTGAGAGACGAGCTTTGTGCAAATGACTTGAAAGCAGCTCAGTAAGTAGAAGTTTGGTTAAATTCATGTAGCGTGACGATGTAAGTGATACATGATGTGTACTGTCTGCACATGAATGTGTTATTTTACACATAATCAAATTCACTATGAGGTTGCTCGAACAGAGATTTAAGATCCCTTGCATCAAAACAACTAGTCCGAGACAATCACGTGCCCTTCACTATACTGACCCACATCTGTCAGTGTCCTTAACTTTAGGTTAGACAGATCAAAGTCCATAGATCTCCACAGGGAGTTTCCCCCACTGCTGCAAGTGAAAGGTCACAAAGGATTAAATGAAAATCACACTTGATTGGCATTCCCATATGAGGTCATTCTCTGACATCAGAATAAGTGATAGGGTGGCTGACTGCAGAGCTCTCTATACTAAAAATCAAAGACAACCTTCAAAGTAACACAGCAGCGATGCAATGCTGATGTTAATTCCTCTAGCTCCTCCAACTCCAACATAATGTTGGATTGTTTGTTTGCATTACAACAACAAGGTTTAAGTTTGGTTTGGGGTTCCCTCATTCAGACAGAATAAAGCCAGCACTACCCAGCATTGTGTGCACCTCAGTTTGACAGACAGCCCCATGTGCCACTGAGCACTCCTAAGTCCAGTGAAACTCGACAGGATAATCTCTCGGGGGACAAAAAACAACTTGTCGTCACTGTGAGGGTGAATGATGGCTCGTAGAGGCAAAGCAGTCTCATTTTACAGATCTGCAGCAGCCCCTTCATCACAAAGCTTTTAACAGCTCTCTCTGACATTTGAGTGGGAAAGGATAAAGAGTCTATTTAGCGCACTTGAAGGATTTTCGCTTATTTATCCCAAGCAGAACGTGTTTTATTCGATTTTAGTGTAGAAATTTGGGGCATTTTATGGCTTTTTGATCAAGCTGGACTCAAACTGATCTAAGAAAAGGCTCCAAATCATGTCCGACCACAGTGAGGACGGCCAGTAGATAGACTTGACATCTTCCAGTGTGGGCCTTCTTGTGCGTAGCATCCCATTGATGGCGCATATGGTCTAAAAATAGAGTAATGTTTAAGGAACCAAGGCAATATGAGGATGTGTTGAGTGAATTTAGAACTCGACAAAACAGCTGAACACCCCACCTAAGCCTCTGGATCCCTGTTTGGAAACCCCCCTCCCTCCTCCTGTGTGTCACATTTCCTCTGATCCAGACTCTCTACACCTGACTGCAGTCATAATAGAGGAAAAAAGAAATGTTGGACACATATATTCAATCACAAACGTGTAGTCATGTGATCATGAGCCCAGGCTACATGCTACAGACGTGTGTAACGCTATGATGTTCATTCTGTGTTATTTCTGTCAGTCACATGCCAAATGTAGTATTCAAAATCATGTATCACAGCCACGCAACCATAGCCATTAGACATTAAATGCCCTTGACTGAAGAAAATCCAACTAACAGTATTGGTATGTCTGATTATGACATGGCCTTGGGTTGGACAGCCATAGGAGTCTGACCACTCGAGGCCACTGAGTTTTTTTGGCTGCAACCAAGTGTGTGTAGGTGTGTGTTGGCGTTCATGCCTATTGTATTGGCTTAAAGGGGGCATGGCAGTGGGAGTGGCCTACTGCAGAAAGGCACATAACTTCCAAATGGATTCACATACTTGTGCAAGATTTTGTGGAAAGACAGTCCATGAGCCAAAGGACAGCTAAATAACTGTTAATGCCAACTGGCAGGAAGGGGCAATGCGGCAATGTATGTGCGTACGCAGTGCTCTTGCGAATCTGCGCTTGTTTTTCAGATCCTCTTCGTACAGAGCATTTACTTTGTTTGGCAGCATGTAAGTGCCTGTGGTAGGTTGTTATTTATATATAATCACATGCAAAATTAGGTATTATAAAGTAAACATAATGCAAACATGGAAATGGAGCACTCTGTGGAAATTTGATTATCGCTAGGAGCAGAAATAGACTGACTATTTATGTTATTTTTGAACAAAATGATCATCATGCCCTCCTCAGAATAACTCTCAATATGATTGTCACAAGACAGGAGTTAGCACCTTCCCTTATAGGACTGTACGGAGTCCTATTTGAAGCAATGCACTGCTTACCATTTATGTTGCACCCTCAAATATGTACCCAGCAGCCCTGATTAAAAACCAACAAAATGACTGCTTTTAATTTTATTTATTTTGTTATCAGACGGCAACTCACATTCACGCTTCAATAAATGTCTACATTCAGCTGTGATAAAAACATGACGACAGGCTTATTTTTTCTCTTTTTTCTTCGCACTTTTGCCTTTAACCGGTGCCACTTCTTCATCTTTTCCTGTGGCAGCTTTAATTCTCTTCTTTCCCAGGGGGGTCTTTGCATACCAGTTCTGGTGATACACAAGAAAGAAAAACACAAAATCAAATAAACAAGATCATGTTATTAAAATGGATATACAACTGTTACATGCTGTTACAATCATGAGAAATGCAGTGAAAACTAAATGACATATGCACTGTACTTTAAGGGCCTCTTCTTCTTCCTGAAAGATGGGGTCAATCTTGGCTAATGGAGCAACAAACTCAGCAGCAGTCAGTGGTCTGTTTGCCTGCAGTAGGATGCGACGCTTGGTGACAACACTCTGGACGACCCTGACCAGGTGACCTGGTGTGTAGCCATCAGAAATCTTTGCAAGAGAGCTGAGGTCCAGTGCCCTAGTTACATCACCTCCCTGCTTGTTGATCAGTTGCTTCCACAAAACTGGATGCAAACAGAGTCAAAAGTCATTTTTCAGACCCACAAACAAAACAAAATTGTTCCCCAATGTGTCTACTGGTAGTCTTACTGTATCTTGAGCCGTAGTCAGGTCTTGGGATGAGGATGATTTTGCTGTACATTTTACACAGTGACTTGATGTCGGCACTTAGTGGGTCTTTAGTTGTTCCTATTATCAGAACACGATCCTCCCCTTTGATCAACTTGAGAGACTTGGGCAGGTCTTTCTTCAAGCGTTTGGGATCTAACTGTGACCAAAATGGTGCAAATCATTAACTGAAACATTTAAACAACATGATAATGCTGTTCAACTTATATCCTGCTCAGAAATACCTCTTTTTCTTCCTTGGGAACTTTCTTGTAGAACATTTTTTCTGCGTCTTCAATCCATATTACTGAAGGTTGCAGCAATCTTGCAACCTACGCGAAAGTAAAAACTGCATACTTACTTTCTGGCCGAGCTGAAACGTAAATACCTGCAAAGGGCACTTCCATAAAATTCTTCATGCTCCAAAAGATTCACCATGAAATATTAAACATAACTAATAGTGTTACGACATGACAACATACTGCCCCATATACCACACATACCAGAGCAGGAGAATATTCACTGCTTGCATTTTTGGGGGTATTTGACCTTCAGTGCTTAGGCATAAGATCTCTAATGAGATTAAGCATTACATATTATGTAGGTCTTGTTATGTTTATGCTCCAGTTTTGTAGGTGAGGTGTTTGACTTCAAAGAAAAAACTTGCTCACATGGTTTGACAGCAGTTATGAAAATAACTTTAGTATAACAGCTACCATTACAAACATAACTGACAGTGGCACTGGATTCTTATAAACACCAGTGTTTTACCTTAAACACCATGTGAAGCATCATGGCGAGGCCACTCTTGCCTGGGTACTTTCCTGCCGTGGTCAGGGGAGACAGATCAAACAGGTTGGCACCCGTCTCATGGCAGATTGCATGGACCAACATCTTCTTGCCTACACCTGCCGGCCCTGCCAGCAGGATGGCCTTTATCAGAGGAGCCTTCTCATGCACCACCTGAGAGCCTGCAACCACACATATCTCATATTAAAACCAGAAATAACGTTTTCAGTTGTATTTATTTAAAGCATGAATCAAATAACTGTCATACCTAATGGTAAAACTGCATACAGAGATAAGACCTGCCGCACATCTGACAATGATGGCATGGGCTCAATGTCATTTTGCCTCAGTGTTGTCCCGAGGTAGCTGTAGTCACCTAGGAACCAGTATCAAGCCAACAGTTATTAAACTGCACTGTGAATCATTGGAAAAACAAAAAAAGGACTTAAAAATGTACATACAACACAGATTAATGTGCCACTTAGAAACTGTTCATTGTGAGCATAGTGTTTTGGCAATCACAAACCAGAAGAGGGCAGCACATTACCACTCAAAGGTTTCCAGTTACCGTCAATGTTACAAACTGCTCAACTGTGAGAGTTCTGTATTGTGTCAACACGTGGATTGTGATCAGATTTAAAGCTCACATACAATTATGATTATGACAGCACAAATAGAGATTTAAAAAACGGCACACCAGTTTACACAAATAATATACAAAGTCTTACCCAGGAAATCCTGCAGCCTAACTTCATTTGCCTGCTTCAACAAGCCCTGCTCCACCAGCTCCTGACACAGAGACTCAAGAGTTCTAGTAGACATGGAAAAAAAGCAATGCAATCGTTTTCTCCAGCAATTGTATTGACTATTGACATAATTCTGTGATGCAAATCGTACATCGTATATGTAACCTCACCTATCAGATGTCAAATCTTTCTCCTTCTTTTTCTTCTTCCCGCTCTTTGATCCTTTCTTTTTCTGTGGAGAAAATACAAATCGTCAGGGTGCAGCTCAAGCCAATGTAAACTGTGACCAAACCTCCCACATATGTACAATGTGTGGATTGTTCTTTCACTCATTACCTTGGCATTTCCTTTAGTTTTA